CGTCCCCGTTGAGGTTTGCCCCACCATCGTTCAAGAGGGACGCGGAGAGGCTCTGATACCACTTGTAACATCCCGAACCTTTTCCCGACAAGATACTGTCCGCTTTGGGCCTCTACACCCGCACAGATTTCGACTTGGGGTGCAATTCAGGGTGACTTCCCATAAGGTCACCCATCCTTGTTGTGCTCCACACTGATCACGTTTAACTTCGGAGTTCTCACATGAACTCCTCCATTACACCCCAAAACGCGTCTTGTCAGTTAAGGCCGGTTTCCTACTTATGAACCATGGATCTCTCCCGTGCTTTGTCGATGTGGGATTTGCCTAAGGTGTTACAGTTTTCTTAATCGACTCTTATCTTTTTCGTTCTAACTTGGATTTCACTTTTTTTTTTTGCATAGATAGAACGAGTTCATTGTACTCTTGATATACCCCATGTAAAAACATTTTTACAGCACCAGCTCACCATCTGCTCAAATAGGGCATTATTGCACCTGGGCCGACAATCGTGCTCAGCCCACGACTCTCTCCGGTGAAGTGTTGGGTCAGGCCCGTCCAGCTCCAATTAGTACCCAATTGTGCCATGGCCCACCAACACTAAATCATACAGTGCCTCGCAATTGCCCCAAGATTAGGGTTCCTCCCTCCGAGCCCGGCACCCGGGCCCACCATTGTCACGGCTCCCGGCGATGAGCCTTCACCTCTCGTCCGGTTCCCGGCGCCCGGGCCCGGGCCCGTGGTCGTTCCCGGACCCCGGATTCCGGCACCCGGGCCCATCATTGCCCGGCTCCCGGCGGCGGACCTTCACCTCTCGTCCGGTGCCCGGGCCCGTTATCGTTCCCGGCTCCCGGCACTTGGCACCCGGGCCCACCATTGTCACGGCTCCCGGCAATGAGCCTTCACCTCTCGTCCGGTTCCCGGCGCCCAGGCCCGTGATCGTTCGCAGACCCTGGCTCCCGTCGGCGGACCTTCACCTCTCGTCTGGTGCCGGGGCCTTTTATCGTTCCTGGCTCCCGGCACCCGGCACCCGGCATTGCCCCGGCTCCCGGCGACGAGCCTTCACCTATCGTCCGGTTCTTGGTGCCCGGGCCCGTTATCGTTCCTGGACCCGGCTCCCGGGCTCCGCCTTCCTCCCGACACCCGGGCCCACCATTGCCCCGGCGACGAGCCTCCACCTCTCGTCCAGTTTCCGGGCCCACCATTGCCCCGGCTCCAAGCGACGAGCCTTCACATCTCGTCCGGTTTCCGGCGCCCGGGCCCGTTATCATTCCCGGACCCCAGCTCCGGGCACCCGGGCCTGTTATCGTTCCCGAACCCCAACTCCCGGCACCCGGGCCCACCATTGCCCCGGCTCCCGAGCTCCGCCTTCCTCCCGGCACCCGGGCCCACCATTGTCCCGGCTCCTGGCGGCGGACCTTCACCTCTCGTCCGGTGCCCGGGCCCGTTATCGTTCCCGGCTCCCGGCACCCGGGCCCACCATTGCCCCGGCTGCCGGCGAGGAGCCTTCACCTCTCGTCCGGTTCCCGGTTCCCGGCGCGCGTTATCGTTCCCGGACCCCGTCTCCCAGCACCCGAGCCCACCATTGGCCCGGCTCCCGGCGACGGGCCTTTACCTCTCGTCCGGTTCCCGGCACCCGGGCCCGTTATCGTTCCCGGCACCCTGGCCCACCATTGCCCTGGCTTCAGGCGCCGGGCCTTCGCCTCTCGTCCAGTGCTTGGCGCCCGGGCCCGATACTGCTTCCGAGTTAAGCCCATGCCCGCTGTCACCCCCTCCTCCCGGCGCCCGGACTCGGTATCACCCCCTGCTCCCAGTAACCGGATCCGCATCTATTCTCCCCACCTGTATCCATTGCATTTGTATTGCCTGCACATGTGTCATGCCATCTACTCAATTAGTTTGCATGTGGCAAAAGTATTCCCCTTAGGCAGAAACATGGTTGACGTGTGTACAACCACGTGGCGGGAGCAGATGGGCCTAGATGACACATGTCCAGTGACGAGTCTTTCCTTCATCTCCGGCGCCGACACCTGTCCTCCCGTTGCCCCCCTGGTAGTTACTATATAACTAGCACATTCTCTCCAGTGAAAAGGTAAGGCAAGAGACCGGGGGAAGTACTTGGAGAGTGCCCACTGCAATCAGTGACTCTCATCCCCCGAGCTCACCTCCTACAAACACCTTGTAAACTACTCAATCCCCACACTAGGGACTAACTTGAGCGTCGGAGGGTGCCCCCGCCGAGATCGACCGGCGGGCTCTTTTTTGCAGGAAGCGATCGGAGGCAACGTCACGAAAAAAGGTTACCGTAAAGGGGCACTTCAAATTGCTTCGGGGCCCAAGATCGAGGAAGTCGACATCGGTTACAACCTCGGCATCAACAACTCTTCAAAATGAGATTTTTTCCATATCTCTCGTTACCAACTCCATAGCATATGGTATCTCCTTTGTTTTTAAGTCTTTTTTGAAATTTTTTGCATAGAAGGAACGAGTTCATCATGATCTATTGGATCTACAAATTTCTGGGGGGGAAAAATACATGACCAAAAAATACCACATAATACCACCCTGGTATGGAGGGTGGTATCTTATGGTACACAATGTTGAAAGTTGTAAATGACAGTTAGTATACTCCTACTATCATGCATTCAACCATCCTACAATCTTGGTATGTTCATACCATATAGAATGCTCTTATTTTAATACCAATCAATACCATCATGGTATAGACTGTAAATATTCCTCAATTTTATGTCAATTTTTTTTTATCGAAGTGGATATCATTTTGAAGAGCACAATTAATATTATTTATCTGTGCAATAAAATTTAAATTCCGACTTCAAACGAGAGAGAAATCGTCCGTTAAAGATTAAAGGGGAAAGATTAAAGGCTTTCCAAGAGAGAGAGGGGTGCTGATGTGGCGGATTCTAGTTGGGTTATGCATGATTATTGACCAATAGGTTATGCATGGGATCCGCTCCCGCCTCCTGTAGTTTTGTTATATGGTACTCGGAGAAGTCAATGGTTGATTATTAGAGGTAGGTTGTTATGGTACGTGAAGTTACTAAGCTACTAGCTTATTACCCGGCCCCTTGGCCGGACGTAGTCTCGGAAATTGGTATTTTAATTCGGACTATATTACCCATTAGCATGTCTGCGGCGATGGACTGAGATAAGTCAACAACACTATAATAATCTGATAGAAAGTTATTATCCCTTTGCATTACAAAAGAAACATTAAAACATAAACACTATAATGGATAATCCAAATGAAGTCATTAGCCCTAAATCTAGGCACACTATTGCCAAGCACCCTAATACCTCTAGAGTGAACATGAAAAAATCAAAGGAGTGTTTACTAGGCTCCAATTCCCGATGGGGAAAATGGAAGCCACCAAGAGATTTTACAAAGAAAACCCAATATGGATTGCCCTTAGACCAAAAACCACAGTGACACCGAAAATGATAATTCCCTGGTTGAGAAAACCAAATCCGGCAATATCCAAATCAATTCGATGAAATAAATAGGCCGATTTTTTTCCTTATAAATAGTTTTGTTAGTTAAAATATAAGAAAAAGAAAATAAATACAAAACATGCAATCTGTTGTAGAAATCTCATATACAAGAAAAAGAAAAAGGCAAGCAACATATGCCTAGTAACACCAACAGATAAAAACTTTTGCCAATACCCCTACCACTGTGAAATCCTACCAAATCACTCCTAATCATTCTACTACACTAAACACACAAATGACTTACAACTCTGCACTTTCTATCTCTTCAATATGTATAAGTCAATTGTCATGTAACCTCTCCATCATCATGATTTTTATCCTTTTCGATAGCAAACACATTGATTGGTCCTTTCTTACTCTTTCGTGGCAATTACATGACATTTTGCATCAGTACACATTAATCCAAACGACCATTCCATTGCTGCAATTTATGGCTTGAGGTAATGTCACTTCATTCATAATACAAATTTACATGAAATGAAAGAAATGATCAGTATAATAGCATTATAAAATTTAGAGTACCAATTACGATTCCTTTCTTCTCGTTGGCTTCGTCATTAAAATGAATTGACGGCTTTCTCTACCAACGTGTTCTATATTATCATAGTATGGTCTTTTGCGTAAACCGTTTCTACCTTACTCATTTTTGCATTGCAACTCCAAGAGCTAACTTGTTGGGGCTCTCCTCTAGGTAAACACCTTGTATCAAAATTAGGCATGAAAAAAATTGCTTTGGTTTTGAAACTATCAGGATCTTGTGCTGCTTTAAAGAAGCTGAAACCGTTTCTCGGACCTCCGTCAACCCCCAGTCAATTTAACATGGGTCATTGCTCTCTTACCATCTAATTAAAGAGAAAGCTCAGGTTAGTCTCTTTCATAGCTTAACTTAGACAATTTCTTAGAGGAGATACAATCACGAATCACAATTCCAGAATAACCACATCTGATAATACAATCTTATGGAAACAATGGAATGATTAAGGAGGGAGCTTACTTAGTTTGCGGTTTTGATGAGCAAAAATCCAGTCAATAAATTCCAGGTCGAGATTTCCAATCGGTCGGGTCTAGACATGTGTATATTTCACTCAAAAGAAACCATGTTTTATATGTTGAAGATCAACATTATAGTTTGAATAGTTCAATTCGGTAACGATCTCAGCTTCTACATATAAAATCTATGTAAAAGTAGTATGATTGAAGTTATTTCTTATGTTAAAACTAAACAAAATAATCTTTGTTTACTGGAAATTAACCAAAAAAGCATTTCAAATCAAGAAAATGATGATACGGAAAAGGAGTATCATAACAAAAGCAACAAAAATCAACTCAAAAGTCAACCTAGAAAAGCAACCAAATGAATTGATGGTTAAGAGATTACACATTATCTCTTTAAAAGAACAAGTTACAAGTTTACTGTTTGGTAGAGTCACATCACACAAGTGGCTATTTCGAAATTGAAAGAAACTTTGAGTGCTTGTTTGGAAATTTTACAGATATTTTTTTTTGCTTTTCCCTCCCATCTCTCTTCCCAGCCACACAACTTTTCTTCTCTCTTTCTCTTCCTTCTACAGAAACCAACAACCCACTTGTTTCTTTCTCCCTCTCTCTGTACAAGAACAAAAAAAAAAAAAAAACAAAAAGGAAGGATTGAAGAAGAAGAAGACGCAGGAAGCAGAAGAACCAGGAGAAGAAGGAACCCCCACCCCACCCCACCTCACTTGTGCTCTCCTTCTCTCTTCTCTCTTCTCTCCGACGTCGTCTCTTTCTCGCTCTGCGATCTCAAATCTCCGAAATCGCCCATGAAGCGGCAAACTTGCCAAGGAAGGAGAGTCATTCGACGCCTGGTTGGCTAGATCGTGAGTTTTCTTATGTTTTTAGTGTTCTTAACGCCTTCCCTTTCTCCGAATCTGTTCGTTTATTTTTCCTGTTTTTCTTTGTTCTCTTACTTGGTTAGAACGTCTTTTTGGATCGATGAAGAGAAGGGAAGGCGTGAACGACGATGAAGGTTGGCAATGGACGTCGGTGATGGTCCCAGCAAGTGACAATCATTTTTTTTTTTTGCATATTGTCCTTTTTGGATTTTTTTTTTGGTTTGAGTTCTTACTTCTTGTCATCTTTTGTTCCTGGGTTTTCGATCAGGAAGAAGGAACATGTCATGCCGGCGGAGGTGGGACTGCTGTCAACCGCGACCAAGGTGGTAAGTTGTTTTTGTGGATTTATTTCCTTTTTCGGTTTTGACATGTTTAGATTTTTATGGAGTGCTTTCTTGCTAATCTAATTGGAATTATTATTTTTGGCTTTTCGAATTAGGATACTAGCCAGGATAATGGAGGAGCTGCTGCCAATGTAGATTTCCAAAGGCAGCAGAGCCAATGAGGGCTACCCACTGCTCTTTGGGTAAGGTTCTTTTTGGGTTTTGGTTCTGTTTTTAATCTTGATGACTCCTTTCTGTGGAGTGGTTCTGTATGTTTTCAGCCATATGGGTTTTCGTTTTCCCGAAATTAGCTTCCAGTCATTGTCTTTCTCTCCTCACAAGCTCTTACTGCTTTTCTCGGTTGATTCATCGGCCACAAAAACATGCTAACAGCGAACTTGCTTGGGGAGAAGGATTGTCAGCAGGCGGCTTGCTTAGCTTGTGAGTTTCTGCCTTTGATTCTGTTCATTTTTTCGTTACTTTTAGGGTTTTGGTCATGGCTTAGACGCTGATTTTCTTAGATGGATTCATAGATTGCAATAATAAGTCAATGATGAACATTCTTGAGGGAGAAGGAGGAAGCAAATGCAGAAGTCCAATGACCAATGAGTATATATATCTATAATCGTTGGGAAGGAGGAAGCAGCTGCAGATGTCTACCATGAAAGCTTCAGTGTTGGTGATCTCCTCTCTCTATTTCTTCTGTTTTTAGTTTAGGTTTCTTCTCTTTGCGTAGATGGTTTAGAGGTCTTGAATAATTTGTTTATAATTGGTCATCAGTTCCAACTATCGCGCTACACAGTATACTTTTTACTCTATTGGTTTTAACACGGACTAGCCTCGACTCCAAATCCTTTTATGCTAAGATTCCTATGTTTTGTTTCCCTTACAGATCAAGTCGAGTTGGTTCTCTTACTCGGATGGACCTTCAGGTGAGCCACCATTAACATGCTATGGGGCGTGGGGAGAATGGGGATTTCTTTCATTTTTGTTGTTTTCCCCTGAACCTATGCATTTTAGCGGGGGATATCACAGCTTGAAAGCTTCTTGCATACTGTTTTGCGTCTCCAGTAGGCTGAGTTGTATATTTTTTGAGTTCTTAAATGACACAGACTTTGGAAATCACACGGACAAAGGTGTTGGGGATTGATTATTTCAGAACTTGAGGTTGTATGGTTCTGTTTCATTACATGCATACGGTCATATAACTAGGGTGATGCAAAAATATGGGGAATTGAGTAGAATGCATTTTCATTAAAGTTCTCATCAATATTAGCCATTGATTTTGCATATTTCTATGAATCCATCACAGGGGATGAAAAGTGAATGATTTTTTTCTTTTGAATTGCAGGTGTAGCTATATTTTCCCTTTGCATCCTTCCAACCGAGGAGTGATAAGTCGGCTTGGGGTGGGTCTCCTCAGTCCCCTTCTATGGAAATGTCAAGCGCCAACGGGGAGACAACATTAGTGGCCAGGGAGGATGACGGGTAACAGAGAGATGAGAGGAGTTTTTGCTCTGGCAACACCGTACACTGTCCCTTGAAGGTAATCGCTTTCTATGTCTCTTTATTTTACTGGTTCTGTCTAGAAATTATAGCTTTTGCCTGCTTTAAACTGTATATCTAACCTAACTTGAGCACTGTGTCTCATTAGTCAAAGTTGCTCTCTTGATTTTTACTTTCTGTTCCCGTATCTAATTGTTTGCACTTGCTATCCTGTTCCCGTGTTTGATTGCATGCTCCCTATGTTGGGTTCATAGGGTCTATGTGAAGGTACTCAGTTGAGTAGGTGATCTTCTGCAGGTCTGGAACCAATGTCAGTTGAGCCATTGGAGGAGTGTAGGCCAGCAGATGTCTTCAGAGAGAAACACGGCCAATCTACAGCAAGCAAGCTGATCAGATCCCTCTTATGCTTGCAATTTAGTGACAAGGTCAGCTCCTTAATGCAAACTCTTTTGTTATGTCCACGCCCTTTTCATCAACTGTTCTGTTCTACTGAAATTCACTCGATCCTGCTTAAGAAATTTGATGTGCCAAATCAATTTTACTCCTTTTTGGGGGTTGTCCTTTGCTGATTTATCCGTACAGTTCTACGGAAACACATACTGCATTTCTTGCGACAAATACCTTTCGAAATTTCTTCACAACTGAACTCCAATGTGTTCATTTTCCCTCTTGATCGTCGTGTGTTGTTGAGTTGTTCTTATCAGCCTATCATGCGCCTGAAGGCCTCAGGGTCATGCACTCATGTTGTTGTTCAGCCTGTGCCCTATTTGTTGTAAATTGATAGAACTTAGGTTAAACTTTGCTGCAATTTTGTTCTTTGATTTTAAACTTCTCTTTGCAAATCCAATGTATTTTTATGGTATCAGTTCCCTTCATTCCTTACCTATCAATTAAGTTCCTATCTTGATCAGATCCTGAGATTCAGTTCCTGTGTAATCTCGCTTGGTGTATTTGCATTTAATCATGAACTTTGTATATCGTTTCATGGTCTAAGCAATATGAAATCAAAACTATGCGTCCATCTAATGCTACAGGTTTGATGTTACAGGACTTCTGTGATGCTGCAGTTCAGCAGCAAGCTCAAAAGGGATGGAGTCAGAGAAATAGCCTAATAAATAAAAGATATCGTCCAATGGGAGAATGGAATGAACAAACTAGGGGAGTAATAACCTGCTTTTGTATGTTCTAAGTTATTCTGTGCAATTCAGTAAGTATGTGAGCTAATTTATTTGGGTCTCCGGAACCCTTTGCAATTATATGCTTCTCATATCATAGTTGTCCATTTGCCAAATCTTAATTCCTCGGTGGAGAGTAAGTCTGCTGTAATTTGTCTCCATTTTCCATAATGTCATTGCTTTGGATTTCTTCCTTTCTTCGCATAAAGTTTCGGGTCATTTCAGAAACATGTAGGGGTAGAAACCTTCTTAGTCAATAGGGCCTGCCAAAACTAGGTTCATGTATGTACTGTTTCAAAAAGTACCTTGGCTTTAATTTTTTTGGCATTTTCTATTAGTTACCCTCTTAATAGTGACGAAGTGGCGCCTTATGGGATATATGAGTTGCCCTCCTGCTGCATGCTCAATTATCTGACCCATTTTTTAGAGCTAAAATACATTTGTTGTGCCTTTCCGGTCGTAGGTGGGTCAGATTGTTTTACTATACGGCCTTGCTCACTTGGTGGCGCTAACGACGCAGAAGATCTCTATAACGTCATGAGAACGTTCTTATTCAGTGTACCTTAATGGTATGATCCCACCTATGCATTTATGTTCTCTCTCCTTTGTCTTATGTTCACAGTTGATTTGATCGTCCTTCGAGTATGCTGAGAACTTTTTCTTCTTTCCATGAATCGGGGTGTGCTTTAGCCATACCTTTTCCTCTCTTTATGTTTCCCATATTTTGCCTTTCTTTTGTGATTCATTTAGTCTTTCTTGGGGTTTCCTTTGACGGGTATTGCCCCCTTCCATGTATCTAGATTTTGTATATAATAACATGTTTATGTTCTCGATCATCTTAACTATTCCTGCCTTTTAAATGGTCAGTTAGGTTAGCTTCACCATCTGATGTTATTGATATGAATTCAATTTTGTAATGCTATCTAGAAAATAAGGAATTTTTAGTTGCTGCCCCGTGCACTAATTTTTATTTAGGTGTATTTTATCAGTGATTTATGAATGGAGACTGATGTAAAAGGCGGGTTCGTGTGCTTTTATGAGTTCAGTTAGAACAGTCATATTAGATTTCTTTCCAGATTGAGTAACAGCTAAGTACTTAACATTGGGGAACTGTGAAGTGTTCAATTAGTTTTGTTGATTCCTTTTTGTTATATTAAAGCTTTAGCATTTTCTTTTACTTGGAACTACTTGAATGTCAATGCAACCTACTTTGTTGATTAAATACCCTTTTTGCTATTTGACGTAAGCTTGGTGAACATTGTTTGGTGGATAATGGTGAATGTTGTGCCGTTAGGAAACCAACCCAATACAACTATATTGCAAATGCTTAACCCAACTATTTTGTGGCTTCAGATTTGTCAAACCATTGTTCAGTTTACCTGAAATATCCCATGGTTACAACTTTTTTTGGGGTCTGCTAAGCTGTTCTGGGAATCTATTCACGATCCTTTCTTTTGCTGAACTGCAGCTGGAACTGAGAGGAAAACTTCTCCTGCAGAGCTATGATTTTGATTATGTTGCCTCGAGAGGCAATATTAGCAACAGCCGCGACCGATATTTTAGCAAGTTCATGGATCCAACTCTACTCTCTCTTTAGAACCTTAACGAAGAAGAAGAACACGACATCACCTTAAGCCGCTGCAGGTGAGGAGCCCCTCACTTCTTTAGTCTCTTTTTGTTTGGTTGTTTTCAGTGAGGAAGCCACAATATACAAATTAATGATTGGACTTGGAACATTGTTTGCTTTAATTGTTTCCAATTGATTGGATTATACATAGAGATTAATGTTGTACGCTACTTTAAATCAGCCAACATGCATCCATATAGTTTTGGTTGCCTTTAGTTTGTTCTTCTTTGCAATTCTGAAGCCCTCAAAATTTTAAGTTTCCTGCAAGTTTATTCCTTATTGCAACCATACATTTTCTATCGTTACATTGAATGCTTTAGACCTTTTACAGTCTCATTTACCTTTAATGAGTGCTTTACTATTTAGAATCATGAGATTATTGTGATGAGCCTATTCTGTTTTTCTGTATTGTGTTCCTTAAACTCAATAGCTTTGTGCAGTTTATATTCATTTGGCTTGGCCATTGTAATATAATTTTCCTTTATTTACGCTTTTGCATCTAAGTCATATAATTTCCTCCTCATCTCGTGATTCATACTGTGTTTGGTTTCACAGGATGGTGACAAGTGGGAAGACTATCATCAAGATGGTGACGGGCGAATAAGAGTTGAGGTGTTAAATGTTTCTACGAAAATGATGGGAATCCATGTGGGTTTGATCTGGTTGCTTTTGAAGATTATATTATTGTAGGTGCGTCTATCTTTTTTATCCTATTTTGTATTGCAAGTTTTCCTTTCAGTTTTAAGATTGGAATTTGTGCCTCTGATTGTTGAATGTTGGGTATTTATGTTTTCAATGAAGACGACTCTGGAAGAAAACAAGATAGGGAAGATGTATGATGGGTTTTGCCTTCACCCTGATCTATTACTGGGTATTTGACCCTCTTCTCTAATAACCTTTCTGGTTGTATTCCATTCCATCTTCTCCATGTCCTTCATAATGTTGCCAGTTTACATTGTAAAGTTTGTTTGTTTGTTTGTTTGGTTTTAGCCTTTGTTCGGAGAAAAAGA